AGTGCTCGCCATAATGAGATGAATAGAGATCGCTCTTACCACAGAATTTTAGTTTTGCACGCTTCAAGTGAAGATGAAGAAGAGAATGATGTGTGCTCCCGGCGCCTATTTATACTATAGTCGCACCGGTAGTGACGTCATGGCTGTCGCCGGCCAACGAGTTGGTGTTTTTTCAATGTATGCTTCAGACACGGGTCACGATGAGGCGTTCCCCATAACGACCCCTAGAGGACGCAGTTCGAAGTTCCCATGAAAGGGAACTTGTGTGTAACAGATAGATCCGTGCATGAGGTCTTAAAGAGACAGCAACCTAAATAAACCTGCTGCTGTCTGTCACTAATGTTTATTTATACATTAAAGACTAACCAGTGTTATTTTAAAGTTAAATAGATTATTCAGTTTCTGTGGTATTTCTGTACCTGAATATTACTGTTATACCTACCAGAAAATCTTAAAGCACAGTTCATTTTATTTGTATATTGTTATTGTATTTGTTTGTGCCGTTGCTTGTCATTTATTTATTCTTCTTTTATTACTGACTGTTTACTTGTCTTTTTTAGTTAAAGGGATAGTTCACCCAAAAATTTAAATTAGCCAAAGATTTACTCACCCTCAGGGCATCCAGTCTGACATTCCTCTTTAGAACGAACACATTCAGAGTTATATTCGACATTGTCCTGTCTGTTCCAATCTGTAATAATTGCAGTGAATGGTACCCCTGTTTCTGAATCCGAATAAAAAGTATCCATCCATCATAAAACTACTCCACACGGCTCCAGTGTGTTAATAAAGGCCTTCTGAAGCTAAATGATGCATTAGTTTAACAAAAATGTAGATTCTTAAAACTTTATAAACTGTAATGTCCAGCTTCCGGTCGCTCAAGCAGGCACGTTCACAACAAGGCAGAGCGTATGACGTAGGCGTAACGAAAGGCGCAACATAAAATCCGGGGAGAAGACTGTGGTCTCGCGAGAGTAAGCTTCGGGGAGAAACATGTAATCTCGTGAGAACCAAGTTTTGTTTATGGCACAGGAAACCACGTGAACAAATTGTATCTGTTTTGATTAAAATGGTGTGTTCGTGTCAATACCCGGGATGTTTAAATAAGTTTTTGACAGGTGTTTTGTTTTGCTTTCTCCTCTGTGCATCCACGTTCGTCACTCTCTCCCCAGATCTTATGTTGCGCCTTTCGTTACACCTACGTCATACGCTCGGCCTTGTTGTGAACGTTAATATAATAATGTTGAATATAACTCTGAATGTGTTCGTCCTAAAGAGGAATGTCAGACACGCCTAGGATGCCCTGAGGGTGAGTAAATCATGGGCTAATTTTCATTTTTGGGTGAACTATCCCTTTAAAATTAATTCAATTCAGAGTTTAAAAATCAAAGTATCTTCCTCACAATATAAATATGATTCAACAACATTATAAATTGAAAAACACAAATGGGTGACAAAACATTTAGGTTGGATGATTGTAGTTTAAAAATGTAAAAAAAATACCCAAACTCCCCCCTCAAATTAAAAAATCCCCCCCATAAGAGCCACCTAAAGAGGGAATTTTATATATATATATATATATATATATATATATATATACACATTTTTTTTTTTTTACTACAGATCTCGTTTCCAGAATCTCTAAATTTCCGCTACTGAAAGAAAGAGAGATGGGCTAACAAATAAAAGTGTAGTCTGCACAAAATTGTATATTATTTCATTCGTCTTGTCAAGAGTCTTGAATTTATTGACTTTGACTTGAATTCATATGAATTATCTTGACACAAAATTTGTTAAATATTTTATGCAACACAGTAAGAAAAAAAGAGTCAGAGAAAATAAAAATGTTGTACACAAATTCATGAACCTCTATTCATCACTGACAAGGGGAAAGCCATGACAAGATCCTGGTTTGCAGCAAGACTTTGCACGATATGCGTGCTCTGCGGTCTCTCTCCAGTATCATATACACTCTTTCCGTATCGGAGCAGCAACGACGGCAGGATCCTTCACATCGATCCCCACATTAAAAGCTATTGGGAGGTGGTCCTCCATCACTTACGAATGCTATGTTCGGCCTGAAGATAAGGACATCTTAAATGCGCAGAGAAATATGGACTCTAAAAAAATGTGATTGCATCAGATTCTGTGTATTATTTAATTCAGTTCACTCAAGACACGTGTATTCCTTATTAAATGCATTTATGTGATTACTCCCACCTATTATTACACTTCACCAAAGGTAGAAGTTCACACTGTTGCAAGCTCATCGAATTTAGGTTTGCAACATGCTTGTGGCAATAAAGGCTCAGTAACATGCTGTTACTATCGATATTACTAAGCAAGCTTGCCGCCATGGACTATTCTGTCTCTGACTGGACCTTGACAGTGTAATTTACTTGGCAGTCTATGGGACAGTCACAAGCCTCCCGGTTTTCATCCAAAATATCTTAAATTGTGTTCCGAAGCTTTTACGGGTTTGGAATGACATTGGGGTAAGTGATTAAGGATGAACTTTTTCATTTTGGGGTGGAGTAACCCTTTAATAAATGATAATGGACATTGAACATAAATAAATAAAGAAGAAAAACAAAACAGAAACTAAAAATAGTGAAATGAAGACCAAGTTACAGTAAAATATTGTATTTTCACAATCTTCAGTGATGCTTTAAATGTATCATTATGTGTATTTTGGTATGAATGAGTGTCAGTTTGTCTCTGCAGATGATGAGGTTGTAGGATGTGATGCATCTGAAATACACCATTGAGTTTAGAGTTACAGTCTCTTTCCAGTTGTTTATGTAAAACAATTGTTTATGAAGACCAAAAATAGTATGCGAGCGCTTCACATCAAGTCATGAAATAGCTGTGACTGTGTGCATTTATGCATAAACCCAAATACAAATTTTAATAGTAATAGAATTATGTAAGGCAGTTAGTACTAACATAATAGGAAATTTGCTGAAAAGTAAAAAAAAAAAAAAAAAGCTTTCTTAAATTTAAATACAAATTTAACTTTACAATTGTAACTGGTTTCCAAACAAACATGTTCTTTTCTTTTTTTAGTTTTTGGGTCACATGTAAGTGTGAGCAGATCTGTTAAGCTGTGGAAACCTCTTTCCTATTCTCCACTAAGTAAGTAACAGGGACAATGAATTTATAATATAGATATATTCATATATAAAATGTATATAATACATATTGTTAGATTATTATTATTATTAATTAATTAACTCTAATCTCAATTGTATATTTCAGATGCATCACATCCTACAACCTTATTATCATTCAGAGAAACTGACACTCACTCACACCAAAATTATTGACTTAAAGGCATCAAAGAGGATTGTGAAGATATTTCACTGGAACTTCATCACATCTATTTTTTTTGTGTGATTTACTTCTTTCTGTATTTATTAATGTTCAGTGTCAATTGCCATTTATAAGTGTATTTGGCTAATAATGTATTGACATGTCAATAAAAATGTACCTTATCCACACTACATGCTGTTGTTGTTGTTGTTTTAATACAAAACCCTATAATGTAAAAAAAGATGGCTCATTACTGATTTTCTGGAGCTCAGCCATCCAACTACATAGACTGTCAACATACTTTTAACAGGTAAGTCATGTATTTATTAAAATGTTAATTTTTAACGTTCCTACCAATCCTGTCTTTTTCTCTTTTTAGTTTAAGAGAACACTGTTTGAAGAATTTATCTTCCAGAATCTTGCAGTAGGTTTTGGGAGATCATTTTTAGTCCATCCCTGCAAGACAGACTTTTCAGGAAAGGAGATGGAATAAAAGTGAAGTCTCAAAACTGGCAGATTCTTGAAGATAAATTCTTGAAAGAGTGGTACAAGAGGATGTGGTGCTGGTCCTTCAAGAGTCACTCATAACTTATCTGTCCATAAATCCTATAAAAATCAGTCTTCATATTCCACAACACTTCAGCGTGTTATTCTTATTAAGTGAGAGTAATTTTTAAGGATTTTTTTACCCAAGCAAAGTCTCTGAGAACCTGTCACCTTGCACTTCTGGAGACTCCAGGAAGGTTGCAATTCTGGAAAATGATGGTGCTGGAGACTAAATGCTTCCTGATGGTTTCACACCTAATCCTTCACAGTAATTCTTAATTATTTTGTAGTTAACGAGTGTCTTTTCTTCTCCACCTGTTTTTTTTCTTCTTTTTCTGACCCTACTGACCCAATGAGCATTTCACTGTCCAATGATCATGCCTTAACTTTGTAAATTCTAGTATTGCATCCTTCTCATGACCATTTAATAATTTTTGTCTTTTCAGTCTGAGATTAATCTATTTTTTGGCTCATTTTATCTGTAAAAGAAAACCTGCTTAATAATTATGCACAGCTGAATATAAGGAGTTTTTCACTTCCAGCCATCATGGACAATTATATATCACTTATAAATGATTAAATACATAATGAATAGTAGTTATTACGATTGATGTGATTTGGAATTGGTAAAATGTGCTTTGAAAAAAAAAATACAATCAGAATATCAACTTGCATAATAATTATGCACGCACTGTATATTCATTGTCCTTAGTTACTGTCTATGGTATCATTTGAAGAGAAGCAAAGCTGTTCTATTGCAGGTTGATTTTCTGATGATCACTGAATAGAAAATAAACTAATTTTTCTTTAATAACTTCCATAAATTATAGTGCAGATATAGAAAGTGTTCCATTGAGAATGAATCATTGTCATTATATATAATTTATGTCAGGAGGAGGACCATTTACTTTATTTAGCATGGCCCTTAAGTTATCCATGTAAGATGTATCTTTTTTTTTGCCACAACAACCTCACATGCTTGCAGCTGCTATCCGTAGTCATAGTAAGATCATCTGAATATATGAAGTGACATGGATTTTGAATATGTACTGTAGGTTTCAGTCCATTAAACTGTATATTAAACAGAAACACAGAATTGAAGTAACTGAGATTTATTCAGAATTTACATTAACTATGTGTCACATGCAGGGTTGGGAGTAACACATAATTTATGTTATCTCGGTAACAAATGCATTATCATATTCCTGTAATCAGATTACAATTATTGAGTAAAACACTAATGGGACAATACTTGTTTAGCATGGTAACGTCTGTAAAAAATTGCATGGAGATACATTGCACTGTGATATAGCTTGTGCATTCATATGAAGATTAATTTTGCAACTGAGTTCTGACATCCTACAAAGGAAAAAAAAAGCCTCTTACATAGTCAGGACATGGCATGTTCAACATGAGTATGATAGTTATATTTCAATGCTTTTGCGTTTGAAATGGGCAAGGCAAAGGAAACTAAAGCACTGCTCTAATGCTGAAGTTTAAATGATTTCAGAAGTCAAGTCAGGAACAAAATCATTTCAATCTCTGTTCTCTATATCACATATGAGAGGTCTATAGACCTAAACAAAATTACTTTACTTGTTAAATTAGTTGTATTTATGATTCAAACTCTCGATAGCATTCTGTTTTGAGTGTTTTCTCCATTCAGGTGGGATCTTACCAGAACCATCAAATGTCTTTTTGTAGTGTTTTTCAAGATCTTTCTGGAATCTGCACACAAACCACTTCCAGTAGGGCAGTTCAGAGAGATCAGGGGTGATGCTCCACTTCGCATAAACTCCTTTTGCTTTTCTGTATTCACTATATAGGAATGTTTTATCATCGGCACTGAGATAAAAACATCGATCACTGCTTGCCACTGATGTTGTGCAGATCCAAACAGACAAGTTTGTTGTATCCTTGAACACGGTCCCATTTACTCCTCTCACTCCATGGAAAACAGCACTGTGATCTTCATCATGGTTTTCTATGGTGTTGGTGCAGATGGCTCCACAGAATGGACACTGATCCCAACAGCACTGACATAAGTCATCAATCAGAAGCTGATCTGGCCTGAACTTGGGCTCCAGTTTTGCTGGAAAATTTATTTTGTTGAATATACTGCTGATGTCTAACATTATAGAAGAAAGTTCTTTCTTTATCACATCTTCTAGGAGTTTGAAATCCTCAACATCATCATGACTGACTCCACTGAGGTCCTTTTCAGAGAAGATCAGCTCATCTGAGAGCTGCTGTGTGAATCTCTTCAACCACAAACCAGCATCTCCTCTGTTCACTCGAACATGTTCAGTAGATTCATCTCCTCTGTTCACTCGAACATGTTCAGTAGATTCATATGCTGCTTCCATGATTTTCTGCTCCAGGAGTTTAATGTTCTTGTTCATCTTGGGTAAAACACGGACATTGAACTTATCAGTGATGAAGTGACTGACTTCATCTCTTATGAAACCACTGAAGTGATCTCTGGTATTATGAATGTAGTTCTTGTATTTGTTAAAATCCTCCTTTTCTGCCAGTTTCTTCAGGATGTGTTTCTCAAGATTTGACCTGTTTCCATTCAGTGATGGACAGTCTGTTCTCATATCATTTGCTAACTCTCTGGCAGTCTTCTTGTATACACTCTGTTCAGTGGGTTCTTTGAGTTTCTGACAGATGATCTCACCAAAAATGGCAGCTGATGTTGCTCCATGACAGTATTTCTGGAAAATAATATAATACTCTTCCTTCTTCTTCTTAACATATATTTCAGGATCATTGGCCTCTTTGAACATTCTGTGTTGCTCAGTGATCATCTTATTTGCTCTCTTACAGATGGAAAGAACCAAGTCCATGAAGAATTCATTCTTGAACACATATTTAACTGGTCCTTCCTCATGTTCTATTACTCTTGCTTTGATGTAATCTATGAGTTGTTGAATGTAGCTGATGTTGTAGCCCATCTCTGAAATGTTGAAAGACTGAATCATTTTGTCTGTCTGCTGAACAACATCATTGACTAATGATCTTATTTGGGCTTCATCCTCAGAGAGACCATAACCCAGCATTTGTTGAAATTTTGTTAAAATTTTGGTTGATTTCTTTAACTGTACATAATCTGAATAACTCTGCACAGATAAAATATCCCTGCTGTCCTTCCGGTGGTCTGCATTAATACTTTCATAGATGTCACCGAGGATCTCTCTCATATCTCTCATTATGTCAATGTCTCTGATTGTTGGGGTGTCTCTGCTGATTAACTTCATCCACTCGTTCCAAAACAAATCAAACTCTTTCTTTAGTGTTTCTTCATCATTTGCTTTGTCTTTGCGTTTTAAGGCGAGTTCTTTGCTCTTTTCAAAGAGAGTGTTTTCATGATGTGTCCTCTGAGCATCAATCTCTTTCTTCAGGTCTCGCTGCTTAAGAATCTCATTTAATTTCCTTTTTGTTTCTCTTACAATGCTTTCCTGTAGCTCTTTGATTTTAATGTCAAATGATGTTTTCCATTGAATCAGTATATTTGCATCTGCGTCTTTCTCAAAGAATTCTGACACTGATTTTTTCACTTCTTCACTTGTCTTCTTCAGCTCTTTGTGAAGATCAGTTTCTTTAACCTCGTGAATTGCTTCATTTTCTATTTGGTTGTGCAGTTTGTTCTCAGTTTCCAGCATGGCACGGCGAAGCCTCCAGGACCACTTGCTGTATTGTGTCTCCAGTTTCCTGTAGGCTGAAATCTCCAGAGAATTTCTGAAGCTGAAGACGAATTGCTCATTCAGTAAAGCCTCCCAGAGATCATTAATACGAACTTTGAAGTCTTTCAGTCTCGTTCCATGTGATTTTGATGCATGAGTTATTATAGTCATCTTCAGGTCTTGAATGTTCTCACAGTAGCTTGGGTTTGGTGGCGCCATGGGCGGACTGCCCTCCCAGAGCTGAGCAAAATACTTCACATCTTTCTGAACATCAAATGTAATAACGTCACTGAAACGTTCAACATCACAGACTTCCTCTTTAGCAGCAAGTTTTGTCATCTCATCCAATGTCTCCTGCAGTCGTCTCCTTCCCTCCATGTTTTTCTCTCCAGCTGTGATGTCTGACACATTCTGATGCACAAACACACAGCTGGGATTCAGTTTTACCTTCTTCATCCTCAGGAAGGCCTGAACAACAATCTGAAGAATGTCCTGCATCTCAGATGGGTTTTCTCCAAAGATATTGATCAAGGTCAGATTTCCAAGACCAACAACAAATGTGGCCAATTCATTGTCATGGTGTCTTGTTGATCTTCCAGCCAGTTCTAGAGCACGAAGACCCTCAGTATCCACAACCAGAATATAGTCAAACTTCAGCTCTATTTTCATATCGTCTGACCCACTGTTCATCCGTGTTTTCATCTCGTCTGACACTCTGACCAGCTGCATGAAAGCTCCTCTGGTGCACCGGCCAGCACTGACAGCAAACTCAAGTCCAAACATGGCATTCAGCATGGTGGATTTTCCAGAGCTCTGAATCCCTAAAACGGACAGCACAAAGACTCTCTGGTCCCCCAGTTTCTGGACGAGTTGATCTAGAACAGCAGAGATCCAGATCACAGGAACATGAGCAGCATCTCCATCCATCAGCTCCAGTGGAAATCCAGAGATCATCATCTCTGCTGCGAGACTCGCGAGAGAAGAGAAGTCTTTCAGGTCTTTCTTGTTCTTCTTTACAGATGAACATGATTCATAGATCTGACCGATCTCCCTCATGATGTGCTCCACACCAAAGGTTGCATTTTGAAGTTCCTCAGATATTTTCTCAAGCTTGATTTGTTCAGCTTTGAGTTGTTCAGATTTATCATGTTTCTCCTTCAGTTGTAATACTGTTGACCACTTTTCATTATACTTGTGATGTAGAGCAGAAAGATCCCCTGATGTATATTCATCCAGGACGATTCTGAGCCATTTGGTGAAAAACATCTTATTTGCAGCATCTGAGTTCATTACTTTAATAAAGACCTTCATAAACTCACTGATGTCTGATTCCTGCTGCTGTTGACGGAGTTTCTCGATTTCTGTGTGTTTTCTACTGATGTCCATTTCTAGATCATCTCCTTGAGGGCGATGCAGTTCTTTGTTCTTCTGACTCCACTGATGCCACAGTTTCCCCTGATGAGGCAGAAATGATTCTTTGGTTTCCGTAAGATTTTTCTTCTCCAGTAAACGTATCATCTGCTGTGCTGCTTCTCTTGCTCTCCTGCAGTCATCATCATCTTCCGCATCTACTCTGATGTCCGAGTGTTTGGACACATCTTCAAGTCTGAAAGTGGAAGATAATTCTGAGAGACAATCATTTATAGCTCTTCTGAGTTCTTCAGATACATCTGACTGATTTCTGTCTTTCAGACCGATCTTGTATTTTCCTTTACGTGTCTTAATGAGAGTTGAAGCATTCTCAGTAAGAAGACAAATGAGTGGCTTTGAGTCCTTGTAGAATTCTTGAACTTTTATCATACTTCTGTCATTCTTCTGAAGTTGTGGTAGAAGAACAACATTGACTGAGGCCATTTCAGTGAGGATCTGCAGCTGTTTCTCATGGTCTCCTGCATCACCGTGTAGATTACAGAACGCAACACAGTCAGTGAATTTATCATCATTTGTTCCAGATGGGCAGTACCAGGTGATCTCCACCAATCCATCCATCAGGACTCTGGTTCTGCTGCTGCCTGGGCAGTTCCTGTGGAAGAATGTGTTGTGTTTCTCATTGATCAGACTGTTCATCAACTGAGACTTGGATGAAGACACAGAGCCAAACCTGAAGAAAAAAACCATAGGAGTTTCTGCCTTGTAGATCGGCTGGGTTTGACTGATGATTTCTTTGTTAGTGTTTCTCATCTTCCAGCTCTTGTTGATTTGTCTGAATGTCCAGAGAGGAAACTCAATCTGTTGTGTGTCTGGATCAGGAACAAGCAGAGGCAGAGCGTACTGACACTGGGACAGTTTAGTCACCATCAGCTGCTTCAGGAAACCATCAGCACAATGAAACACGGCCATCTGAACATCCATCGAGTGAATTTGCTCAGATTGACTTGTTCCTTCATTAGACGAAAACATTTCTTCGAAAATGTCACACTCACATTTAGATGAGTCATCGTGTCTTTCTTGTATCTGATCTTGTTCATTGGGATCTCTAACAGTAATGTATCTTGCTCTGTAGTCCATCATCAGTAGTTTTTGTATGAAAGTTTGAATCAGCTCCTCTTCAGCACAAGACTCATTGGACTGTAATGAATGTTTACTTATCTGAAGAACATCTGCAGCTCTCAGTTTATGATCATTCCTGCCTTTAAGATGAAGTCTGTCAAAGAGTATTTTTGAGCCTGTAATCATTTCTTTTTCTGTTTGATTTGGTTTCTTTGTTTCTGTTCTAAGCTCTCCTGCAGGTCCCTGTGAAAGAAAATACTAGTATGTTAATTTATGTGCAGCCTCTGTCTAATTTATTATTATTATTATTATTTCTACACAATTTCAACAAGTGAACCATTGAATGATATGGTGAAAACCAAACCTTTCAGGTAGAAAGGATTTGTAGCTCATTTTAAGATTGATAGGTTGTATTATTATTTTTTCATTTCTTTACATTTTGGTTTGGTAAGTGGAACAGTTGCCTCCTGGGCGCAATTCAATAATAACTTTTTTGTCTTAGAGTCTAGAAAAGTGGTCTTATACAAAATGCTTTCCATCTGACAAAAGCTGACAAGGGATGGTGCATTTTAGAGGCATATATTGCATTATTTGTATCCTTATATTGGAAATAGTTAAATTGTTTTAGACATTATATCTGTAATAAACCCACAGCATCGCATGCATCTTGCAAGTCTGGTAGTCTGTAAGTGTGACTGAACCTGCACAAAAATGTGATGACACATTATGGTTTTGTTTCTTATATTTCCACACATAGACTGCAACATGATATTTCTGGGGAAACGTCATTTGTGGAACCTAGGAAAGGCTTTAATTAATATATATATATATATTTTTTAGAATAAATTTTTCCCTAAACCACCAAAACATTATGAATTAAAAGAAGCAGCCATATAGTCTACCAATATAAGAAACAATTTATTTTTTTGATAATTACTATTATTATCAGTAGTTCTAGAGTACTGAACATTTTTAAAGTCTATAAATTGAGAAAGATGCATTTTGAATCAAGACAACATAGTTATGGTATCTACCAGCAAGGGCTTATTGGACTACTTGACTTCTCTGTATTTAGCAGATTAGTTGAATTATTAACTTTAAATTCTTTATAACTTTCTCTTGTCAGCTGTTGACCATGGCAGCACCTCCCCTCCCCCCAACGCACACACGCAAAACGTTTTTGTATGTTGTCATGATATGTTATTAAACATTTTTACCATTAAATCAATTTAAGTAAATACTAGTCACGTAATTTATGTGCACATAATTTACCATGTGTGTTTCTTTCATCTCTGTCATGGAGTGCTCTCTTCTTTCTTTATTGAATGAAGGTTCACCTTAAGAAATATAAAAATAATAATACATTACATGAATGATTTTTAAACCACTTAGATTTCTTATTCTATATTATAGCAGTGGTTTTTTTTCCCTGTCATTTTTCAAACATTTAACATTTCCAACTGATATATCATTAAGGCCTGTTGAAATCCTAGTAGAACATAGTAGAAGGTTTTCATGTCCAGATTGGACTGACGGAGAATTTCCAAATAACACAATGGTCAGACTGGGAAATGTGTTTATCTTGAATAAACACCAAAGAACTGCTCTTAAATTCATCAGAATGTATCAGAATATAAGAACAAATCTGATCATTTATTATTCGTAAATGAGTACTTTGGTGCAGTGAATATTGTGTTATACCCATGTCACTGCATGATGAGTCAGATGATACAGTTGCCTTGATCATTTCTGCATTGACAACAGGTTTGAAGTTGTTCTCATCTACCGGCTTTCCTTTATCCTATAAAGATAAACAGAATGTACATTTCTTGTAATCATGATCTAAGTTCTTGCAAGTATGCCAGAGTATGTACACTCAGTGGCTACTTTATTTGGTAAACCGCTTTTAGCCCTCAGAACAGACTGAATTCTGTGTGGCTTAGATTCAACAAGGTTTTGGAAATATTCCATAAATTGTGGTTTATTTTGACATTATAGATTCATTCAATTGATTAATTCAATGAGTGTATAAGGAACATTTAATCTAAATTCATTTAGGTTTGTAATACTGTAGACAACATATATTTATCTTGTGTTCATCATCTGCTTGATTTTCTCTTCCTGATGTATTTGTTTTAGGACTGTGGTCCTTGGTTTCTTCGGTTTTAGGGGTTTGATCTTGTGATGTGACCAGAACTGAAGTTTTCTGCATATCAAATGTTTCTTCACTGACTTCCTTTTTAATTGGATCACATGTCTCTTTGTTATCAAGAACTGGACCCGGTGCAAACCCATTTAGTTTAAATTCAGTTGGGTTTGCTAAATCTAATGGACTGGGTTGAATCAGGTTGATGTCTTCTGTGATGTTCTCCTCATCTTCACCAGGGAGGATGTCCAGAGCATCATCTGGATATGGATCTGTCATTATTTCACTGGAGAGAAATGTAAATACTATACCGGTCAGGTCTCACACCACAAAACATTGATAGTATTTAGTAAATCTGATATTGATGGAATAAATGGGTGTGTTCTCCTAACAGGAGAAGAAGGGAGGTTTTTTTAAAGCATATTTAATAAATTAGGTGTATTCTGAAGCACAGTATAAAAAATTAAATGGAATATTTGAAAAAGAACTCTGAGCAAAATCAGAGAATACTTTCAGATACCTCCAAGTTATTGATGTTAACCTGGTGCTAATTTCCTTAATTGTATGACAAAACCTATTTAATTGGCAACATACCTCCGCTCTAAGGTGACTGAAACCCTGTTACAGCAGGTTGTCCAGATGAAGGCCAGCAGAATGACCTTTTCAGCCATTGCAAGAAAAACTGGTCATTCCAAATCTGTGCTTTCTACAATATTGCAGGTTTGTAATGACACTAATTCATTCAAGTCCCCCCAAAAGGCTAGTCGTCCATGTAAGACAAATGCACAAGAAGACAGGATAATGCAGAGACTCTCAATGGTGAATTGGTTCAACACTGCAGCTGGAATTGCTCACCAGTTCAGGAGTTTCGATGAACAGGGTACCCAGGTGAAAAAGAAGTACTCTTAAATTTATTTAAAAATTTACTTGAAATTCAGATAGTATATTTTTTTGTACAATTGTACTCCCAACATACTTACTTGAACTGCATTAATGTATTGACTTGCATTTTAATATATTTTTAAAAAGTATACTAGAAGTACGTTGGCGATAAATATATGCTTCGTTAAGCTTTTAAGAAATATACTAAAACAAGCATACTTTTTGTGGCATTTTAGTGTATTTACAGAAATCCTACTTATTTTACTCTTACTTAAAGTATATGTTTACTTGTAAGTTTTGTACCTGCATGTTTTGTAAGAATGTAGTAAAATGATACAGCCTTTAGTGGGTTTAAAGTATATGTATCTTATTTATAAACCATATGTAGACCTATTGCAATATATTTTAAATATTTATGTAATGAACGTGCTTCAGGCTGATTTTCAAGGAAGATGTGTTAAAAATATTTTTATCATTTTAATATATTTTAAGTATATTAATTCACTCACATATCAATATTGTCACGTGTATGTTCCTGTTTAGTTGCTGTTTGTCCTTATTTGGTCCTTCCAGTTCCTTTTCCCATTATTAGTAACCTGTTCCTTGTTATTAGTTATCCTCATCCCTGCCTGCCCCTCGTTATCTGCCCTATTTGAGTTCGAGCCCGTTCTGTTCTCCCTTGTCTGGAATTGTTCATGTTCACCCCTTGCTACGTCTGTTTTCCTGTTTCCTTGAACATTATTAAAGACTTTATTAAAGACTTTAAGTTTGCATTTGAATCTGCGTCTCCTCGTTCCTCTCTCCGTGCTTCTCACAGTAGCATAACCTGTGACAAATACATTCTAGCTATAAAATATGCAAATGCATTCTTACATTGTACCAAATTATAATGTATTTTAAATATAATTTAACCAACTATACTTTAGTAATAAGCATACTTAAAATCAATATGTTGTTCGGTTTTATTTGTTTGTACTTTTGTGTAAGTAAAGAATACTAGGCTGTTTTGTAATACAATTACAATGCAATGCATTAAAATGCATTTTAATTTAACTTTTAAATACAAAACATGAAGCATTACTTGTAATAGCTTACTATTTACTTTCCACAAGCATTTCAACATAGCATTAGTTGAAGTGCATCATAAATAATTTTTCCAAAGATGTGTTTAAAATCCCTATTTATTTACTTATGTACCTAAAGAAATAAGCCCAACCTACCGCATAAAGTGCAAAACAAATCTCATTGGGTTTTGTGTTAACTAGTATTAGTGGAACTGGCTAGAAGACCTACCAAGAGAGCATTGCAATAGTCCAGCCTGGACAGAACAAGAAGCATGTTCCGAAAGAAAGGGCCTGATCTTCTTGATGTTGAATAAAGCAAATGGCAGGACCGGGCAGTTTTAGCAATGTGGTCTGAGAAAGTCAGCTTATCATCAATCACAACTCCAAGGTTTCTAGCTGTTTTTGAAGGAGTTATGGTTGATGTGCCTAACTGGATGGTGAAATTGTGATGAAACTATGGGTTTGATGGAACCACAAGCAGTTCTGTCTTGGCAAGGTTGAGTTGAAGGTGATGGTCCTTCAACCAACAAGAAATGTCTTTTAGACAAGCTGAGATGCGAGCAGCTATCGTCGGATCATCAGGATGGAGTGAGAGGTAGAGTTGAGTGTCATCAGTATAGCAGTGATATGAAAAGCCATTTTCTGAATGACAGAACCTAGTGATGACATGTAGACAGAGAAGAGATGTGGTCCAAGAACTGAGCCCTGAGGCACCCCAGTAGCTAGATGTTGGACTTTAGTGCCAGGCGCTAGTCAAACAATTAAGTGTCGAAAAGGCACTGGTGATGAGGAGCTTCAGTACTACAACAACAATAGTGAACTGCAGTCAGATGAGATGATGTCAGGCCATATATCAGTAAAAACCAATTTACCTGTCCTGTCAGCCGTTATACTATGCTCGTAGCACATGCTCTTCAGTTGCTCCCGTATTTTAATCTCTTTAACCTATAGTTGCGCTGGCGCCAATTAAGTCATGCAGTTAAAAAAGCCAACTTACTGAAATGCTATTTAAACGTCTTATTAAGTTGGCTTGAGAAAGTTTAAATACTGATATTGTATTTAAAGGGGTCATATGATGCTGCTAAAAAGAACATTATTTTGTGTATTTGGTGTAATGAAATGTGTTTATGCGGTTTAAAGTTCAAAAAACATTATTTTCCACATACTGTACATTATTGTTTCTCCTCTATGCCCCACCTTTTTGAAACGCGTCGATTTTTACAAAGCTCATTGGTCTGAAAAAGCGAGGTGTGCTGTGATTGGCGAGCTACCTCAAGCGTGAGACGGAAATGTTATGCTCCCTCACATACTGTTGATGCCATGTCCGGCCGGAGCGACGAGACAAAAACATTAAAACCCATTACAAACGAGGCATTTGTTGCATCCAGTGGGGACATAATTACTGATTATAATGACTTATACTGTCTTTTTACGCGTTGCGTTGCATTGCATCGCGCCGCGTAAACATAAAACTCTGTCTGCATTTGTGATCGGAGAAATGACAGACAACAAGCGCTACTCTACACTCCTCAAAACATCAGTGGCAAATTCTTTAGTATAAAAAACGTACTTACAGTCTGTGAGTCAGATCAGCCGGCATTGTAGTCTACTCTACCAGGATCAGGAAACGTCCTCCATAAAATGTGCTGCACACATCTGGATATTTGGGTTAAACTGTTCTGGAACAGTCTTGTAAATACTACTTAACCACTGATTTGTAGTCATCTCCTCTTTTGGAAGACCAAACAAAGTAGTTTCGCTTTCACAACGAAAAACACAGCGGCCTAGTGTGAGGGGAAGCCCCGGCTTAGCGTGCGCTGAGGCCGGGATAGAGTGAACTGAGGCCGGGCTAGCGTGAGCCGAAGGGGTCGAGAACGGCACGCCCGGCGGATGCGACGAATGAGCGGCAACCACATGTGACGACCCCGGGCTAGACTCCGCTTTGTCCACGGTGAAAGTTGATGTATTCCCTCAGCGACCAGCAGAGATCAGCTCTAGGCATCACGAAGCAGATATCGTCCTCTTTTGGAAGACCAGACAAAGTAGTTTCGCTTTCACAACGAAGCACACAGCGCCTTCACGACATGGCTGCAGCGTCAACAATACTACAGCGAGAATAAAAGTTACGCCTTCTTTCTTTGCGTGAACATTTGGGCGGCGTTATGCAAATCTTCCCACATAGTGACGTAGATATGTGGGGGAGTGTTAGAACGAGCCATTTTAGGTAGGTGTGGCTGACTCTTGACTTTTATAAAGAATATCTCTTTGGATTTGAGACTTTAGTCTTTGCAACTTTACAGATCTTCTTTATGCACCAAGAGCTTGTAACACTCCAAAGAGAAAGGGAAAATTTAAATCGCATCATATGACCCCTTTAACATTTTGTTAGCATGATTAGCAAGTTTACTAGCCGCAGCCGCTAGCATTATTCTAGCATGATTAGCATGTTTCTAGCATGTTTATCAAGTTGCTAGCATGGTGTTAGCATTTTGTTAATATGATTCTAGCATGATTATCATGTTACTAACATTATTCTAGCATGATTAACATGTTACTAACAGCATGCCAGCATGTTTCTAACATGTTTAACAAGTTGTTAACATGTTTCTAGCATGAATAGCATGTTACTAGCATGGTGTTAACATTTTGTTACCATGATTAACAAATTTACTAGCATGATTCTAGCATGATTAGCATGTTACTAGCATGATTCTAGCATGATTAGCATGTTATTAAGATGATGCTAGCATATTTCTAGCATGATTAGCAAGTTACTACACAGTAAAATCCCG